AACACTGCCCACTACACAAGGCAAGGCCTCTTCCTAGAGCCAGCCTGGGAAAAAGGTCTGGTCGGCACTGTACTTTCCCCTAGGCTTGTGTTTGTGCGAAATGACAGCAACTTCCAACGTAAAAGGCCACGTATGACAACTTGAGATCTAAGGATTCCCATGGCCCAGAACTCTTTACCACGTGCCTGTTAATACGCTTCCAGTTAAATACAGAGATTTTGGTAGCAGCCACCAGCCTTCTGATAAATCACCCAGAAAGGGAGAGGTTTGACCTGGGGCCTTGGGTCCTCCCATCACCAGGGAGATGCAGTCACCACTGCATGGAAGTAGAGCCTGTTCTTGACCTGGTCCAAGTGTTTGGAGGGGACGGTACTGGCTGGGCTCACTCTGCCATCAGTGCCCACCCCACCTGGCTCACTTTCTTCTTCCCCAGCCTGTGAAGTTCTGCAAGTTCTGTAGAGCTTTCTGAGGTTCCCCATGGGAGCTCCTCTCCCAGCCCCAGGGTGGAGGGCCAAATGGTTCAAAGGCTGAAACTCAGACCAGAACTTGCGTCCCACCCTTTAGAGGCTGTGTGATGCAGGGCAAGTCCAGACCCTTTGAGCCTGTTTCCTCCGAGAAGGGAGGAATAACAACCCAGCACCTTGCCTACATCATTACATGTTTAGAGGAGATAAGGTCTGTGAAAGTCATGTGTAAGTTATAAAGCGCTATACAAATCTCAGTTATTAGTGTGGTCCTTCACTTCCTAACGGTCCCCAGGGACTGAAATAGGAGCCCGTAACTTACAGAATAATAATAATAATGAACCATCATGAAATGCTTACTGCTCTGAGGAACAACACTTCACGTGAAGTACTGAATTCAATCCTCACACGGATCCTGTGGGGAGAGTACTACTGGTGTCTCCACGTACAGGTAACGAACAGAGGGGTTAACCACTTGGCCCTCATGGGAGCTCTAGGTCACCAGTTGGCCAGCACAGACATGGTCACTATTTGCAGAGAGTCCATCTTTCCAAGGCTGCATCCTCACACTACACACAGCACGTGTGTCCACACACACACACACACAACACTTCACTTGCCACTTGGGCTCTGTCGCCCCTCGAGGCCTCACTGGGCCGGGAGGTATTTCCCTGCAAGTATAGAGGCCCATCCTGTTCCAGAGGGTCGTGTTAAGAAGTCCGGCTCCACGGCCTGGTAGCAAGACCTGGTCCCAGATGGCTGAGGGGACACGTGGATGGATAAGAGGTCCCTCGGTCGGTCAGGCAGCCTGGCCTCTGAGGCATCTTTTGCCCCCGAACAAAATCGTCACCAGGAGTCACTGCCCTCCCCACCCCCCCTTTCTCACCCTGGCCTCGGAGTACAGACTCTTTGGGGCCCCTGCTGGGTTTCCAGGGCACCCCTGAGTTCACTGCCCTCAAAGGGTGGAGGTGAGGGTCACGGCGAATGCCGCATCTACTCCCCGCCCTCAATCCAGGGGTGGGACCACAGTGCTCAGCCACACGGCCACTCTCCTCACCCCCGTCTCCCCACCATCCCCTAGCCACCCCCAGGTTCCTATACCTGGACGCCACCGTGGGCGGTCCAGGCCCCTCCAGTCAGCGCTCCTCTCCGTTTAGAGGGAGCCCGCTGCTTCCCAGTTCCAGCCCCGCCCTCCCAGGCAGAGGCCACGGACCGTAGGCCAAGGGCATTCTCCTCAGTCAGAGGACATCCAGCTCTCGGAAGCCTTCCAAGGCACACAGAAAACTCTCTGACCAAAAGGCAGCCCCGTGAGGCGCGCTGCTGTGTAGGGGGTGATATTTTTAAAGCAAAACTCCCCCGACACCTCATGCAGGCGTTAAATCGGAGACATCTCAGGGAAGAGGACGGGCTATGTTAGTAACGACCACGCAAGCACAGCGCACTTTCCGATATGAATTAATTTTTGTAGCGGATTCTGGCCGCTGAATGTCTTCGTTTAAAACATACATATACATGTATTCTGTTCAGTGTTTTAATTAAGCCCAAAGGGGTATACTTTCCAATTTTGGTACACTTCATTTGTTATATTAATGAAAAGCCACTTTAAATCAAGTTTCATGTTGATATTTCATTATGTATGCTGTTCTCACACATCTCTAAAAGAGATTTATGTTATAGGTGGTAACCACAAATACTGGCAGCGGACATGCTGTTAATTTCAGATGTAAAGTTTTCTTTTGAGGTGCAGCAAAAATAAAAGGTTGCGCTCTCCTCCCGGGTGGCTCACTTCCCTAGGAAGCGGCTGCACCTCGACCGGCAACCAGAAGCCAGCAGTGGCCCCAGCCCTCACCCCCTCTGGAGGCCCAGCCCATGTTCAGGCACGTGATGCTCACACCAAGATTCACAGGGCTGAAGGCAGAATTCAGTGCAGGGTCAGAGCCCAAACAGAGGGGATGGGCAGCTGACACTGCCTTCCAGGCGTCAGCAACGGGGCAGGAAAGGATTGGGGGACCTCTGGGACCTGCCCTGATTGTGGCTCAGGCCATCTGCACACACGAGCACACACTCACGCTCAGCAATGGTGATATTGTGCATGGCGCCTCCCCCAACAACCTGGGCGACCTCGAAGGTGGCGCTGGCTTTGCCCTTGGCTTTTGCTGAATGTTTCCAGGTTCCAGGCGCTGTGCCAAGCATGTTAGCCACATGCCATCGCATTGAACCCACGCCACCTCCCTGTGACGTAGACGGCACTGCCCCAGCCCCAAGTGGCAGAGGAGAAAACCGAGCCTCACAGGGCCAATGGGTCATGGAGTTAAGATCTGAGGCCAGCCCCGGGGCCCCTGACCACCGTGTCCCACCGAGAGCAGGTTCTGCCTGAGACAGAGACCTCCAGTCCCTACTGTTGGTGGGATTTTGTGACATAAACCTGGCTTAGCAGCTAAAGAAGAAGGCTTCTGCTGTGGCCTTCAATCATGGTTGCATGCGAGGAGGGTCAGCACTGTCCACTGACACTGAACCTTCAGAGGTTAAGCTACATTCTAGACACGCGTCCCTGCACTAAATCTCACCTCAGTGCTCACAAGCAGTTTGTTCAATCATCTCTCCCCGCCTCAGCAGGCTGAAAGTAACCTGCACAGAAAAATGAAGCAGGAAGATGACTTTTCTGGACTGCCTGGAATCCTTGGGCATGTGATTTAACTCGGACTGCCTTTCCTTCTCTTGTAGGTGAGGGAGGTGATAATTGGGATGACTATGGTATAAACAGCAGTCAGGCCACGCTTCTCTTGTGGCCTTCAATGCCTTACAAACTGACTGATATTATTTCCTGGACCCTCACGATGACCCTCTGCGTCAAGGTGTTATCCTTATTCCTGTTTTACAGATGAGCAGTTCTCGGAGAGGTCAAGTGACAAGCCCCAAGTCACACACCAGATGTGGGCTGTCAGGGGAGTACAAAGCGGCCAGCAGAAGCCCCATGTCTCTGCTGACTGACACCTGTGATTTACAACTTCCCTAGTGTCACTGGTGGCGGGGCGGGGCGGGAGTGTCCTGGTTGACTTTCTAATGTCTTATGATGGAAAAAGGGATTTCAGAAAATATTCTGCAGCTTAATTTTTTAAGAGAACTTTTAAAGGTAAGGCAAAGATATTATGCCCGGCTGGATGGCATTCAGTACATATGCACTAAAATGGCCTCTTTATAGAAAGTTAAGTCTGGCAGTTAGGTGACTGAAAGAGTATTCCACACAATGTTTGGAATTCATATTTGACTGACTGTAAAAATCGTAATTATTAATAACTCATGATGTAATTTGTTGAGCACCTTACTCAATGTGGCCCGGTCGATCATGTCATCAAGTCGTACACACCTGCCTACCAGCCCCTCCATCCAGTCACACTGGCCTGTTGACAGAGGATCATGTCAAACTCTTTCCCACCTCAGGGCCTTTGCATTTGCTATTCCATCTGCCTGGAATGCTCACCCCTGGGCTTTGCAAACAGAGGCTCCTTCCCAGGCTGCCAAACTCCTGGAGCCCATCTTTCACCATCCAGTTGGCCCCTTGGGATGCTCTCACAGAGCACTGGCTTTTTCTTCCCAGTTATCCACCAGAATCCTGGAATTACGTTATTTCTGTATTTACTTATTTGTTTTCTTTCCATCTCACTCAGGGTTGTCAGATAAAATACGGGATGTCCAGTTAAATTTGAATTTCAGATAAGCAACAAATATTGAATTTTACACTAAAGAGAAATTCATCATTTGTCTGAAACTCAAATTTAACTGGCCATTTTGTATATTTATTGCTAAATGTGGTGACCCTATTCCCACCAGCCCAAAGGCTACAAGAAGACAGAGACTATATGATCCAAGAATGTACTCCCAGGACCTGGATCACAGTAGGTGCTTCGGAATTGTTTACTGAACACACCTAACAAGTGGCTGCTTGGAGATTCCAATCCGACTAAGCCGCCACCGCAGCCCATGCCCTTCCTGATGGCGCACAGAGCAGCCTCGCCCTCCAGTCAGGTCATCACACCCACATCCCCTGCACAGCATAGCCACACCCCTGGCCATCCTTAATCCCCAATCCCCACTGTCAAGAGACCAGGGTCCAGAGCAGATCAGGAAAGGTTCTAGTAAACCATCTTAGGGATACTTAAAACTGGGCAGAAAACAAGAGAATAGGAGGGAAAGGAATTTTAGAAGATGAAACTAGACCATCGATGTATGTGGGTGATTTGGGGGAAGAGGCGGCTGCCAGTGAGATGGGGTGTGTGTGCAGGCAGGGAGGTGACAAGAGGCCCGGGTCTGACCTCATAGGAACTGCGCATCCATTAGAGGTGCCCTTCGCCGTGGAGACCAGACAAATGGGCAGTAGGCCCAGGGAGGCAGGAAAGAAGGGTTGTAGGGATGGATTTTCAACGAGAGCCAGAGAGTTGAATACGTGTAAAGTTCCCGAACGAAGACTCAGGGGCTGCAGATAACTGGCCACGTACCCAAAGCAGAAGCGCATGGGGGAAGGAGGGGGTTGCATACCAGGAGGCCAGCAGCTGTGAAGCCGAAGGATAGGCGGAGTTAAGGGAAGGAGGACAAGGAGGAGATCCTTGTCAGGTGGCGTCTGAGCGACATCTTCCGGACGGTGGCATCTCCTGGCCCAGCGGCCTGGGGGGCTCCAGCTCTGAAGGGCATGGCGGCAGCACCCTCCTGGTGGTGACGTGAGGCAAACGCGGTACCATGTAACTGCTCTTGCAGTGGCCCTGGATGAAAAAGCAGCTACAGATAAAAAAAGCGAACGAGTGAGCATTCCCTGGTGCAGACCTCTGACCCATTTGCCCTAAGACTTTTGTCTGGACCCCCCAAGGCTTGCAGGTTCCTGAGGGGGATGATTCTCTTCTCAGGCCCATGGCCTCTCCAGCCTCGCTCCTGGCCCCTGGCCAGCTCTTGACCTGTGGTCTCTGACTGGTGAACTGCTTCCCACACGCTTGGGGCTGCTCCCCACTTGTCCCACAGTGCCCTCTGGGCTTGACTACGTCACCTCCTCAGAGAAGCCCTCTCTGATACACCGACATGGGAACCTCCTGTTTATCCTCTGTTGTGTCACCTCAGTATTTTCCCTTTACAGTATGGGCTCCCATGTGTAATTGTTTTTTCACTTACCTCCCTGTTCATTGTCTCCCCCACTTTGCTGAGCAGCCCTGAGGGCAGAGTATCTAAGTTGCTTTGTTCACACTATGAACACAGCTCCTGGTTCACAACAGACATCTTTCATCTGTCTGTCTGTCTATCATCTATCGTATTCCAGGCATATATGTATGTAATATGCAATATATAATACATATATCATAAATGCATAAATAATAAATGACTGACTCTGATTGACTCTCCTTCCTTGGACTCCCAGATCACTTTGCCTGTTAGTCTCTAATTTTGTCATGATTATCATTATTTGACTAACTGCCCTATTTCTCATTGAACACACTCTCGCTAGACCAGGAGCTGATCTCCACTCTCTGTCACCGCCCAGGGCTGCCCTGGCAGGTGTACTGTCCTGCCCTGTCCACCTGACCTCGACACTGGGCCCCCCTGGGTTTTTCCTGGTTCTGATTCCCAGGCAACAGGAGGAGAGAGTGACTGTTTACCGAGCTCTTGCCATTCCAGGCACTGAGCAAAGGACCCACAAACATCACCCCATTTAATCTGAGACCCATATGAGAGTTCCCATTCACAAACAAGCACACTGGAGGTGTGTTTAAACACTGAAAGTTTAATTTGCTCAAGGTCTTTCTGACTCCAACACCCGCCCCCTGCAATTTATCCACGTGGAACTGGAAAACTGGGTTTTCTTAAATTTAAAGAATTATTTAAAAGGGCTTAAAAAAAAGGGGGGGGCTTTCTCTGAGCCATCACAAGAATCCCAGGTGTTAACAGTTCTGAACCTTGACAGTGATGTGTGTTTGTAAAATTACCCGTCACTCTCTTCCCTGGAGGCCCGAGCTCTCCCTGCTCCCCCAGCCCCGGCCTGCAGCTCTCTTCCCACACTCTGAATTTGGGGAGCTGCCTCTTGGTGTCTGGAAGGGGCATTTTGTCTGCTATGACCCTGAGCCTGAGCTGAGGCATCCCACCACAGGTCCTGCATTAAGGAGGCTTGTCTGGGAACCGAGGCCGCAGGGCAGTGGCCACCAGCCAGCGGCGGCCAGCCCTGAGCAGACTTGCACTTGTCAGCCCTGACTCGCATACTTACAAAGGTGCTCAATCCCCACGTCTTCCGCTGAAGGCAGCCTAAAGCTGATGGATGTCTGCCAGTCCACTCCACTTCTGGGCATGCAGGAGGATGGACAGCATTGCAGGACTGCCTAGATTTTTCTCTTTCACCAGCAGCGCTCCCTCCTCGACCCAGCTGCAGCCTTGACTTCACCTGTCACAACAAAACAGCTGTTTTAGGTCCTTGGGAAACCAGCCTGGGAGAGCCAGCGAGAGACCCCAGGCCTGAGAGGTTGCCTGAGTCTGCCTAGAGAAGCATGCATGTGCACACGCGTGTGCGAGGGGGTGGGGAGAGTATGCCAGGCAGGTCAGTGGTAAATTCCCGGACCATGTTTTCCTGCTGGCCCGGGAGTGCAGGCTGAAGAGCAGGGCACTCAATTCTGCTCCCATGCCCCCGGGGACCCCCTACTACAGGGGGCTGTGGCTCCAGGCCCAGAGAGCCACAAAAGGCCAGTGGGAGAACATTCTTCCTGAAGAAAGCCCAGTCCACGTATGGGAGTGGGGCCTCTGCGGGCCAGCTTTCCGGGCCCGACAAGGCCTGACAGGACCTGGCAGACAGTGTAATGAGGTTCCACCCAGAGCCGCCTGAAGCTGATGACACACTGGCCCTGGGGATGTGACTTCAGTGGGCAGCTGCCTCAGTGTCCACTTTAGGCAACATGTGAAAGGAAAAGAGAGAGGGAGGCGTGGCCTTGCTCCCTGAGCGATATTCACATTTGTGTCGAAAAGTACAAATTAAAAGAACCAAGTAAAAACTGGTAGCCCCGGGGCTTCCCTGGTGGTGCAGTGGTTGAGAGTCCGCCTGCCGATGCAGGGGACACGGGTTCGTGCCCCGGTCCGGGAAGATCCCACATGCCGCGGAGCGGCTGGGCCCGTGGGCCATGGCCGCTGGGCCTGCGCGTCCGGAGCCTGTGCTCCGCAACGGGAGAGGCCGCGACAGTGAGAGGCCCGCGCCGCGTACTGCAAAACAAAACAAAACAAAACTGGTAGCCCCACCTCCTAGTGATGGAAATTGTTAATATACTGCAGAATATGCTTCCAGATCACGTTCTCTGAGCACGTGAGTACATATGAAAGGGCTTTCATTCTTCTGGAATCTACTTTTCTTACTTAAAAATAAATTCTTCCATGTCACAAAATTTACATCTACATCTAAGTCCCTTGCGTGGATATATCATCATTTCCTCAACCAGTAAGTGGGGGAGGTTGGCCCCCATTAGGCATTTCTGCACAAGTTCGAACTGCCCACACCCAGCTTCCTGGTGTGAAAGGCAGAGACCTCAGCCTGGTCCTTTCCTCAGGGGGGGACTGGCTCCCACTCACACCTGTGGGTCTGATTAGCCACCTGACTTGATTATTCAACTGTGAAACTCAACCCAGGCAGACATTTGAAATTCAAGTTTTCCTGGAGCTATGCTAATAGGTTTAGAGACCTGGGCAGGCTGCTGACCAGGGGAGGGTGACAGCAGAGAGGAAGATTTGAGCTCTTTGAAATAACCTTGGGGTCAAGAGGTCATTTGGTCCAAGTGATTCTTTTTGCAGATAAGGAGACTGAAGTCAGAAACAATTTTATAAAAGATTAATAATCTTGTGGAGAAACTGACAAAGGATACAAATAGAAATTTTCCAAAAGACAAAATATAAGTGAGTTAAGAACATATTTTAAAATATTCAATCTTGTTGACAAAGAAATGAAAACAAAACAATAAAAGGTCTTTTTTGTCTATCAAATTTTGGGGGGAAAAAGATAGTGCTGGCTGGGTTCAAGGAACTGGACCCTTTGTACATGTCCATTGGGATTTTCAAAGATGTGATTTCCCCGGAGTGTACCTTGGTGATGTGTCCAAATAGCTTTAAATAGCATTATCCCACTTGATACATTGTTTTTACAGGAATTTATTCTAGGAATTTATCTTAATTAATTAGAGATAGTCAAAAAGATTTATCTTCTAGGATGTTCATTGCAGCATTTTTTATGGTGGTGAAAATTTGGAAAAAGACATAAATGTCCAACAACAGGGGACTGGTGAAATAAATGGAGCCCTAGGCAGCCACTAAGATTCAAATTTTAGAAAAATTACTGACATGAAAAGGCTCATGATATAATAAATTTTAAAATTTGCTTATAAAATTCAACACTTTATTCAAGTAGATATTTCTGAGTGCCAGAATTAGAGGTAATTTTTATTTAAAATTTTTATCTCTATGCTCCCATACTTTTCAAAATTTCTACAATGGACACATTCTTTAACCTCTTATTTTAAGAAAAGGGCACGGAAGGAAGACTGGATTATGGAAGGGAGGCTGCAGGGGGCGACGGAAATCAGTATTTGTGAGGTTATGTGCTAACACTGCTGCGCCCCATTACCAGTAGCTGCGGGGTCAGGGGCTCAGTCAAGGCTGTCCTTCACGCCCGGAGCCCCACCGTGCCCAGCACCCACACAGTGGCTCTGGGTCCTGCACCCAGGAGTTCAGCCTGTCGGCAGGCACTGCAGAATAAGACAACGGTGTTCAAGGTCAAGGGCAGCCTGCAAGCCTGTTTGTACCTGGTTCAAGTAATGAATAGACCGTAAATGGATTTTCGTTCATTCGGGTGGTTTCTGGTACCTGGTGCCTCTGCCTTGTTTCCACACCTTCTTGTTCCTGGGACTATCTAGAGTTTCACTCTTCCAACATCCCAATTCCCTGCCCCAGATTCAGACGAGGGAGAACCGGGTGGGAAGTACTTTCCACTTGGTTTCCTCCTCCCCCTGCTGGGTAAGACTCGCCCTCCCTTCCTGACACCGAAGGGCCAGCTCCCAGTTCCCAGGGCCTCCCCACGAGTCTAGGTGGAAAAACCGGGCAGGAGCCCTGAGCCGGGAGCAAGGGCGGAGGATGGGCTCATGGGGCACTGGATGGGGACATGGGGCAAAGGCGGCAGCACAGAGGACCCGGGAAACCTGCGATGGCGTTACACAGCCCCAGGCCAACCGGGGCCACCTCTCTCCGAGCGGTAGGGCAGGTGGCACCGGTCCGAGGACAGGTGCAGGCCAGGCGCGTTTGAGGTAAAGAAGCGGCAGGGGTTGGCGCTTCCACATGACTCCAAGTGGTGCGGACCCCCGGCAGGTGGAGGAAGACCACACCGAGAAGAGTTAGAGAAGGAACATTCAGGGACCAAATTCTTCCTAAATGTAAACCACGTTAAAAACAGGAGGCGAGAAACCCGTCTGCCCTATGAGAAGCATGTTCCTCAAAGGAACTCCTCCCGGTTAGTCCAGCGGGGACAAAACCTGGGCCACCGCCCGCTGGAGCTGCACGCGCTCCCTGCCAGGCGCCGCCAGGCCCTGAAGTTCACAGTGAGGGGACTGTCCCCACCCTGGCCCCCCTTCCGGATACGGTCACTGACGCAAACGCACAGCTGGACTACGTGGCGAAGCCTGAGGGGTGCTGTCAGAGAGAAAGGGCAGCGGGAAGGGGAGGAAAGCCGCCTGGGAGGAAGAGGCAGCCTGTCCACCCCCGAGGGGAGCCACCGCCTCCCCGGCTTTTGCCCACGTCTAGCGGCGTCTACGTGAAGCCACCTAAGGGCTCAGTTGCTAACCAAGTTCCAGCAGAGGGCCCTTGACTGCCCTCTGGAAGGCTAATTCGTCCCCGGATGGGAGCGTCTGCGGGGCCTGCGGGACAGAGGCGCCGGCAGCGCACACAGGGCGGCCGGCACGGGGCTGCCTTCTGCCGGGTCTCTGAAGGTCGCTCTGCGTTTGATTGACAAGTGCCATATGTCCCAGTGCGCAGGGCTCTGGCCTCTCCTCTGAGCTCTCTCTTTTTCGCGTCTTTTAAAAACAGGTTCCTGTTTGCTTTGATTTCATACATGAGATTTTATCGGTCCCTGTTCTGCAGTGGGAGGAAGTGCACGAGTCCTAACCCTTCGACGGCACAAGGGCTGAAGGCCAGCGCCACCCGCCCCCTCACCCACCCAGCCCAGCTCTCACGGAGGCCTCCGCCCCCCAAAAGGGCTGCTCCCCTTGGGCGGCGGGGGTGAGAGGCCTTGCGAACGCTGTGATGGGGCCTGGAAATCCCAAGGCCTCCCCAGACTCAGCCAGCTGCAGGCCCCGATGGGACGCTGCTTTGGCCTTTAACTTGAATAGCCAAGCCCCCGGGTGGCTGCTGAGCAGCGGGCCCCTCCCGGGACGCCCATGGGAGGGCCTTTCCCCGCCTCCCCCACCCTTGCGGCCGGGATCGCTGCCCTTGCTTCCTCGTCCCTCACAGCCACCACACACTGCACCCTCGGCACCTCCGTCCCCGTCCTCACCTGGCTGGCCTTCTCTCCTCCAGGCGATTCTGGAAACTTCTAATTGCTCTGATGAGTCTTAGAGGCACGTTGAACATCCTGGCTCTCATTTCCTCACTTAGTCTGCGGGCTGGGAAGGCTCGGCTGGAGGACCAGCTTGCTCCCGAGGGGTAACTGCAGGGGCAGGATGATTAGAAGCCATCAAAGCTGTCAGGGAACGCAAGTGACGGGCCCGTCGCCGCGCTCTAACGACTGCCTGCTTGCTTCACTTTGTCAAGAACACCCTCATACGCACGACACTCCGACACCTGTCTGTCCCCACGAGTCCTCTGGACCACGTCTTCACCCGCTGTCAGAATTCTACTCTTTAGGATTCTCTGAGTCTTCCCCAAATAACTTGCTTTCTCCCCCTTATTAGGGGGCCCCATTTGTTCTGTCATCCACGCACTCTGCCCCCACCTCGAGTCCTGAGCCCCATCCAGGAGCTCCCGAGAGCCCCCATTACCACCCACGCCGCCCTCCCAGTGAAGCACCCGCGCCCGCAGAAGCCTTGTTAACCCGAGGAGCTGCCTGACGCATCGGCAGAGAAAGAATTCCTTCTGGCCACACTTCACCTGGAGCACAGTGTGTCCCTCCCCATCCGCCGAACCGTGAGAGCCCCGTGGGCAGAGGGCCACACGGAGGGGCACACAGCTTTCACAGTCCACTCTGCCACAACGCAGCCCGTCCCCTTGCCAGTGTCCCTCCACTGCCTTGGCACGATTCCGGCAGGAAGGTCTGAGTGGGCACTCGTCCAGGGGCATGGCTGGCGTGTTCTCAGCTGCCACCCTCCTGTGGTCTCTGCCCTTTCGCGGAGCCTGGTTTTCTTTCTGTTGATTCTGTGAGCCACCTGATATCCTTCTAATAAATCGCATCTCTGCTTGAATTAGCCCATGTCGGTTTCTGCCACTGGCAACCAAGGGCCCTGGCTGGGCCCATAGCTCCCTCCCAGGGTTGCTGGAAGCATCGATGGCCTGGTGGGGGAAGCACGGAACGGTGGCAAGAGTACCCAAGGGTTAGGTGTCCCATCTCTACCCTCTCCAGTGCCGGGGCAGACTTTCCAGTTCCAGGTTCATTACTGAGGTTTTCCTGCTACTGGTATTACTAACATTTCTGGTCCCTTTGGGTTGCTGCAGACTCACGAGTCAGGGAATGCTGAGGAGACTCCGTTTACTGCACAGAGTTGCATCCATCACCTCCCTCCACGTAGCAGTGAGTGCTATTCAGAGGGGTCTCCTTGGGAAGGCTTGGAGCTGTTCATTACCTGTGGTCACTCAGACCATCCCTCTCAAAAGAAACTTCGTTGCATCATCAACGCCCTCCACGATGTCCTCCCCTGGTGACACGTCTGCATTTGTGCCCTCCCGTCTCTGAGCAGGGCCTGGCCATAGTGGCCACCACATCCTCGGGCTGGGCCCAGAGATTGGTCCTTCTCGAGAAGACAGATCCTCCTCGCTTCCAGGCACTGGAAAGAGGGCTCTTTGTTCTGGGGAAAGCCAGGGAAACCCCAGCTTACCAATGGCCACAGGACACCTTTTAAGAAAGAGGAAATGTTCCTTTTTTCCCTCTGTAACAGTAAACTCAATAAACAAACAATAAGCTCATGAGAAAACATACAGCTATGAACTGGGGTCGTCCCACTCTCTTAACTATACTCCTTTTGCAGGATTTCCTTGGAGGACCTTCCTGCTTCCTCTGAGAGCTTACCTTTGATCCCCAGGGACCAGGCCTTGTGTGGCATGACTCTCAGCTCCCGCCCCTGGGACTCAGGTCTGGAGACAGGTGCCAGTGTGGTGCTGGGCGGCCTTGGGCACACTCAGGATCCGGCGTTCACTGAGGGGAGGATGAGAAAGTGGGGCCCCGGGGGCTCAGGAGAGGCCTGGGAGAGCTGGAGGAAAGCCAGGACCGCTTAGGTTTCCTATTACTAAACACCTCTAATGGACCGAGGTCATTTGTGAGGGAGGACCGTTGGGGGGCCACTGTGAGGGAGGAGTGAGGGCTGGTGCCCTGCGCTGGCTGGGGGCTCCAAACACCAAGCCTGGCCCTGGAGTGTGAGCATGTGTGGTGAAGCGAAGGTAAAGAGCCGTGAGGACAGAAAGCCGGGCCGGCTTTCAGGCTCACCACCTAGTGACACAGGAGGCAACCTCGAGCCCGGGGAGGGTTCAGAGGCCCAGCGCCCGCAGTGACTCAGGGCGCTGGGGACTGACTAAGGGGGAGGCACCTGGGGGTGAAAAGGATATTTTCATTACCTTTGAATATTTAAAAGTATGGCATATACACACACATTGTACCAACGTCAAGTTCCTGGTTTTGATACTGAATATGGTTATCTAAGATGTAACCACTGGGGAAACTGGTGAAGGGTACAGGGGACCTCTCTGTACTGTTTGTGCAACTTCCTGTAAATCTGTAATTACTGAGAAACAGAAAGTCATTTAAAAAGATATGGGATAAAACTTTTCTTAATGAAAACCTGGCCATGTCAGGTCACAGAAGTTAGCTCCCACAAATTCCAAAAGGGAAAAATAAGAGCCGGGACATAATTTTCTACCTGAGGCTGTTGGAGTGGAACCACTAGTTTCCCAGGAACTGGCCAGGGCTGGGCATGGGGGCCGATGGAAAGGCTCTAGGAAACGTTGGTGGAGAGCCCCGAGTTGGCATCCATCCCCAGGGCCAATCTGCAAGGGACACTATGATTAGTAAAACGGGGATATTTCTATAAGGGCCTCTCATGGAGGTGGCGGCAGCAGTTAGAGAAAGGTTGCAGCACTCCGGCCAATACACACAGACACACGTGCAGACACACCCAGGCACCCAGACACACATTACCACACTGCCCAGCCACCTCTATGGCTGTACCCCCTACCCCTCACCCTAGTGTAGGGTGGCAGGACAAGCCCTGAATTTACTGGCAAAAGGCCAATGTCCGCGAATGGCCTCCAGAAGCACCCTGAGTGCTGCACTTCGGAGCACAGCAGACTTTTATGGCTGTGTTCTTTCCAACATGGCTTCAACCCTCTCCTTCATGGCTCACGGAGCCTCCAGTGAAACAAAATTCAATTACAGAAAACATAAAGTTTCCTCTTTACTCCTTTGTGTGAGGCTGAAATCTTTTAATACAGTTTCTAACAAAATCCACCTCAAATCCAATAAATTATGGAGAAAAATAGTTGAACTTATAAAAAGATTCAGAAACCTACAATAAGGGGGCTTATGTGAACAAGCATTTTCCTGTGAAATTGATCTTCTCCCAGAAAGAAGAAAACTTTATATTCTCAAAGACACTAGGGAGGGGTTTTCCCTGGTGGCGCAGTGGTGGAGAGTCCGCCTGCCGATGCAGGCAGGGGACGCGGG